AATTGAAGAATAGCATTGGAGTCATTCATCATCGGGTTGGACTTAAAAAAAAAGGGGGGGAACAAGGTCTGTGGAAATTCCCTATGCAACCGTCACATTACCGTAAGATGAGGAGGAATCATGCTGACATAAAGGCCATCTATTTGTCAAAAATTGTGAAGTTTGACACGCCAACCCCCTACTCACCTATTCGCCTTCTCACTTTCTCACCTCCTACGGCCTATGCCAATGATGTAAAAGGAAATTCATCCGGTCGGCCTTCTTTACTAAATACATACTGGCATGCAAATCATACATCAAAGATTAATGTTTTTTTAATAAAGTTGGTTGGACCAAGTATTCAAAGAATAGTCCATATCAACCTGTTCCCTAGTCTACATATCTCTACAATATCTATCGCTTAGTTTGTAAACGTACATGTTCAACCAATCGGGAACTATCACTATCATATTTACAGTAGTACTGAGGTCAATGAATCTGTCTCCAATATTTATCTAGTGTTGCCATGGTCTGATTTTAATATTTCTAAATCAATCAGTCATAGTATTATAACTTACTTATCATACTTGTAAACGGATCGAATTCCAATAGAATCTCGAATAATAATATTTGAATTCGATTTGATATCTGATGGCAGTTCGAATTTGATTTTGATTATTAAATCGAGTATTTTATTCAATTCGAATTCCATCCATGCGAATGCAATGGTAGTATTGGGCGGTGATGTTGGACTATTGGCACAATGGCATTCTTGCAGTATTAGTTTGGGTTGAGTGCTTTGGGAAATTGAGCAGCGGCGAAGGAGACAGTAGTGGCCGTGACCAGTGCTTGACCACTATCACTAACGTTGCCGTCGATGATGGTGGTTGCTTGGGCGACGACAATGTTAAGTCTCAATCTCAAAATATGAGAGATAGAGGAGAAGATGAGAGACGAGAGAGGACTAACAAGAGGCGGACGATGTGGGGCAATGGCCAATGATCGGTACTCGACTATCGACTGCCAAATCGTTGATGTGGCCGATGATGGTGGTTGCTCAGGCGGCGATGATGAAGGGAGGGTTAGGGTTAGTGTTTGAAGGGAGAGGGAGACTAGAGGAGAGGCTCGAATGTTCATCAATTTTTGTTCATTTGATTCAATGAGATTCGAGAACCGAGAATCTCAAATTGTTTATTTACTTTTTTAACCTTTATATATATATATATAATCAGTTCGGATATTTATCGGATTGGATCAATGCATATCCGAATTCAGTCCAATAATTTAATCGGTAAAAATTGGTTGAATTCGATCGAATATCCAATTCGAATTATCTGAATTCAATTCGATTATGCCAAGTCTAAGATTCAAATTCGGATTTTCGAATACAGTTCACATGCCTATTCCTTACTAAGAATAATTATATCAAGGAAAGAGAAATATAAACATGTCCACTCAGTATTGCTTGGGGGGAGGGGGTGGTCCATCCCTCATACAGACAAACCCTCCAATCCTAGTACAAATAGGATTCAATTCCAAGTCTATGCTATAATCAGTTGGAGGCCTTATCAACCAAAAAGTAGATTACTTGGGGTATGGGGTGTTTCACCAATGTACATATATAGTTTTGTTTTATGAAAGAAACATAATTGCTATATCAGCAAAAAATGTATATATTTCCCAATATGTTATTTTTTGGGGGGGTTTAGAGAGAAAAAAAAACACACACAATAAACAATGAACGTATAAAACACCATAAACTTAGTTGGTCCGGTTTGGAAGCTTGATCACTACCTTGCCAGTAGGGGTGGCAACGAGCCAAGCTTTTCACGAGCTACTTGAGCTCGGCTTGTGAAAAGTTCGGTTCGGCTCAGTTTCAGCTGGGCTCAAGTCCAATTCAGTGGCTCGATTATTAAACGAGCGGAGCTCGAGCCTATTAGAGCTCGGCTCGTGAGCCAGCTCAAATATATATATATATATATATATATAAAATTATAGAAAATAACATATATAATAAAAATATTATAATTCTTAATTTTTTAAATATAAAATAATTTTTTACATATAATTTTTATTTTTATAAGAAAATATTTATAAAATATATAGTAAAATATTTTTATAAAATATAAAATGAGTCGAGCCAAGCCGAGCTCGAGCTCGAGCCTTGTAGAATAGTCTTGAGCCGAGCTCGAGCCTAGTACTATTCGGCTTGGCTCGGCTCGAATCCACCCTACTTGCCACACTTAGGCGGTGTTCGATTCCGTGTTCACCTCGTGGATGGACCGTTTTGATCCATGCCACAAGATGAGTAGGGTGTTCGGATGGTCGTGGACAGGACCGGTCCACATTATATCATGGACCAGGTCTATCCATACTATATCATGGACCTACCTTGTCCACACCGCATATTATCGACCACACCATTTTCTTGTGGAGGGGGGGTCCATCCATGGTTTAACTTTGATATCCTGCTTCACATGCTCCCTGGAAACCCTATCTCCGACTTTGCTTCACATAATTTTACCGTTGGAGGTCTCCGCCGCTTGCCAAAGATCTCTGCCTTTGTGCTCCACCAAAGCTCTCCACCACCGGTATGTTATCTTTCTTTGTTGTTGCTTTTCTTTAGAAAAAAAACATAGAATCGAACTTGAAGTTGGAAACATAGAATCAAACTCAATTGTTAGAAACAAAGAATTGAACTGTTAGAAACTTCTTTCAAGATTTGGATGCTGTCAAGGTTGATCATTCATTTTTGATTTGTTTGTTGAAATTTGCTTGAGGTATTAGTATGGTTGTTGATAATGGTGCTTTTACCTTCTCCAAGGATCTAATTAAAAGTTTGAATCTATATAGTATATATCTTGTTGCCACGGAATCCTCTCCATTGTATACCAATGTATACTTAGTTTTATTATTTATTATATTTTAATATTTTTATTATTAAATTATTAATTATTTTCCTTAAATTTTAATGTTTTTTCAATAAAATAATATTTTTAAATATTTAAAATATATTTTTTTATTTTTAAATTATTTTATTATTGTTTTATTAAAATTAATATTTATTGGATAATATTAATTTATTGATGTCTTTTTTTAATATATTTATCATATAAAATGCAAAAATTAGATATTTATGATTAAATGTGTAGATCATTCATAAAATGCATATGAGATACATGTAATAAAAAAGTGTGGTGTGGATTGGTCCAGGCCATGCCTACATAATACCACTGTGGGTGTGGACTGATCCAATTTACACATTTTGTCTACAATTAAGAACAACTGTAGACTGTGGTATGTTGTGAATTAGTCCCTATTATAGGGTGTGGTGTGGATTAGTCCACACCCACCAATTTTCTCATCCACGTTACAAAACACCCCTTAATTGGATAAATAGGAGCTGGTTTTTATCGTACTTGAACAAGCTATTTTTCCAAATAAATAAATATCTTTGTTTCATAGAAAAAAAATAACTAAGTCCTTTTTACATATTTAGAAGATCCAAACAAAAACAAAAATCTATTTAAAAAAGGAGTATGTTGTTGTCGCTGAAAGTGCCTTCTGCTAAAAGAGAGAGAGAGAGAGGAAAAGCCTCCCGAATGCTACCTTTAACTTTTTTCATCAGTTGCCTCTACCCTCTAGGCATACGAATTCCCATAAAAATTATCCTTATTATTTTTAATGCTCAGAATTGTTATCTTGAAAATTCTTTACACCCTATTCTATTTATAGATTTTATGCCATGTCATTGCAATATCTGCTTGGGTGGAAATGTGGAACAGAAACTCTCCCAAAATAACCTAGGATTCTTCCGTGTTGCTATTCTTTTACTTTTTTGACAACACATAACAAGTTACTTCAGAACCTTGACAGAGCACGCTGTTTTCATTTAGCCTCAAAACACTTGCCAAATTTAATGTTAAAAAAAATAAACTTAGAACAGTCAATATCTCTTAGATTAATCACCATTACAGGGTGGGATGTAGGACTATGTAAATGGGTCATAAACTCATGATAAATTGGGTGACATCTAGACTCAAACTGGCTTTATTAATATCTGAAATAACGGATTTAGATTGGATTTATAGATTGAATTTGGATCACCCAGTATTAATACGTATTGACCCGTATCAACTGATACATATGGTTCTGAGACTCCTCCGATACACCCATACAGTGGATGTATCAGGGTCTGACCAATTCAGAGGATAGAGGAAACCTAAACCAGCCCCTTTGAACCAGTTGCAAAAAAAAAATAAAAAAAAGTATAAAAATGCAATATAAATTCGCCCGATATATTTTGAACCTTGAGATCACCATAACCGGATCAATTTTAAGTTCAAATTGAGACAAACAGAGTAACACCTGGCCAATGAACAAGAGGTCCTCCATGAGAATAATGAACAGTTTATATTCGCCACATCGTCCTTCCTAATGGTAATGACAGAGATTGACAGGTAAAGGGTTTGGTATAAGGAACTGAGGCCCTCCCTGCATGACCTGCCTTATTTGCTATTCGACTTATTTATTCTTGGTAGTGGTGGGTAGATGGTTGGGCCCATCCAAAACTAGAAAATACTCGAAATCTTGTTTGCCTAAATAATTAATTTGACCATAATTTGGTTGGATGGATATCGACCCAATTGTCCAGCCATGCAGCACAAGATCCTTAATGAATCTCCTCATTTACAAGCCATTCCACACTTTCCATGTTTACTGTATGGCAATATGGTCACACAGCATGATAAGCATCAAAATTGTTCCAATGGATTGTGGCTTAGGCTGTGTTTTTACATTGAACCTTAAATATATATATGACCGTTATATTTTGAAATCGATGTAAAAAGTTGTTTAAGTTTTACATCGATAGCTTTTACATCGATTATCGATGTAAAACTTTAAATGTGATAAGGTTTTTCATCTATCATCGACGTAAAACTATACTCCATCCAAATGCACGCAAAACTGAACCGAAATGTAATTTTACATTGATAATGATTACACTTGCTTACCAAACGTGTGCAAAAGCGAACCGATGTAAATTTTACATCGGTTCTTGATTTACTTCGCATCCAAATACAGCCTTATGCTTAGTTTGAAGAGTACAAATGAATACAAAATACAAGGTTTTTTACTCTACATATTTGTATTTGTACTTATTCCGAGCTGAACCTTTAAAAAAAAAAAACAAAATTGTTCCAACAGATAGCAGTATAACATGATCAGAGCAGCCCCTATTTCCCATATCAGCCTTCCATAACTAAATTGCTCCCTTTTATAAGTAGGAGACAAATTTCACATTATGATAATATCATCTGCATAAACCTCTATACTTACAGCCTTGTACACATGCAATGGCAATCTTTCAACATTTACTTCCACTAACATGATTTCTAAGAGACGAGGTATACACTTGACATGCTAACCTGTTTTTCAGCAGCATCTCTAGGTTACGTTCACATCCATCATCCATGTCCAGTAATTAGTAAAAATCTTCTCAAGGGTCGCCTCTATTCGTAACTCTTACCATAGTACCTCCGCTGGCCTACCATCAGAAGTTTAAGGAACCTGCACCTCAATCATTGATTTACTTATTTTTATTGCTTTCGTTATCTCCACTCCATATGCTATGTTCCAATTTGTTTATCAGTATGATGATGAATTCTCAATTTCATTTTGTCATATAAATTCTCTATCTCATAAAACAAAAATTGCAAACATATATACACTTCACATAATTATGCCTATTAAATTTATCACTTTCTGCACATTTGGCAGATTTAATTTTCCTGTTCCCACTAGGTAATGCCAATTGTGAACTAATCAAACTAATAAAATGGAGAACCCTTCTTTTCCATGGCATGCAGTAAAAGACGGTAAAGTGTGCCATATTGGCACTTAGTTTTTCAGATAAAATAAGTCTCAGATGCCCAAAGCCATGGCATTCAGGTGGGTTTGCAAATGATGGTTCATCTATGGTTTTCTGGGGAGTAATCACAGGTAAATTCCTCCACAGTAAGCTACAACCAACAGTAGAGGTCACGTGCCTTCCTCTTCTTCACCTTTTCTCCCTTTGAAAGTAGGTTAGCTTTTGACACTTATATTTACATAACTTCACTAATAAGAGAGTGAAGATCATCTGAACCGAATAATTCCAAAACAAAACAACTAAACGAGTCAAAACTAAGGGCCTGTTACCATGACAACGAACAGCCTACTAGGTGGAGAATTTGAATATCTTCACTAGTATGGCTACTACTGAATTCATTTTTTTTGATGAATTTACTACTGAATTCATTGTCTAATAGAAAATTATGGATTGCTGTATTTTTTTTTTTTGAAACAGCTCACTTGTACTCGAAGCCTACGTTTTCATTTTTTGGCAGACATACATAGATATTTGTTTATTGGACAAAAAAAAGTCCAAGGCCAACTTCTTAAACCTTGTATATCACAAACATGCCAGTGAAGGATGCACTTCATTCCATGAGGTGTGATACAGTGGGGTTTATAATGGGTCACTGCCAACGGCTTATACCAAATGTCATCAAAACTTATTGCAGAATGATAGAACAAATAGATGTTAATTCCAATAGAATAAAGAGAAGAAAGAGTCAAGGAGAATGCAGTAATGTCTGCTGGGGCTGAACCTGGTGGGAAGATTGAACTTCCCACCCAAGTACAAAGTATTAGAGATCAAGGGAAGCTCTCAAGGAAAACAGTTGGTCTGCAGGAAAATAAAAATTCTTATGGCCATTATCCAATGCAAGTCCCATCTATCAGTTGGTCTGCAGGAAAATAATGTTCTTGTCATCTTGCAAAAGGTATTAAATTTTCATGGCCATGTAGTGAACCATTTTTATGCTCAAGTTCAAAGCATTGAGAGCATGACAAGAGAAATCCAGGTTTAATGGTCCACTACTTTCATCCTGATGATGATTTGGGCAAGACGATCCCCACCTTAAGAAGCTCTGATGCATGATTGTCATCATTTATTTACAAATAAAAGTTCCATAATCACCAATTTAATACAATAGGAAAATAATCTTTCTGAAAACAAATACAAGAACTTTCTGTCTTCTTTGGTTTTGAAAAGAACGAGAAAATAAAAGAAGAGAAAATAGATCAAAGAGAAAAGAGAAAAATTTTACCTTCCTACTTTGTCTTAGTTCTTTTCCTCTTCTTACTGCTTTTGTATTAGTGTTTTTTTTCCCTGTCTTTGGTTTCTCTTGTTAATGAAATTAAGGAAAGCCACTTCTTTTGGATTTTCTTTTTCCTTTCTTCCATTTTGTTTGCAACCAAATGCATTGTTAGTTTCATATCGTCCAAATCATATGCAGTCAAACCTAAAGCTCTCGACCTTTATGTTCAACTAATGTTATTGCATCACAAAGATCCTAAAAACATGATGCCAATTTCTAGCTTAAAGCTAGCATTTGCAGCATCACAGCAACTGAAGCGGGCAGAGAACACCCCCTACCCAAAAAACCCAACCCAACTACATCACCCTAGTGTTCCAAAAGTGAAGGGTGCAAGGCAAGGCTCATGCCTGCACAAAGTTAGACGCCACTTGTAAAAATACAGAGGAAGACATGGGCTCATTCAACATACTAGACACAATGTTGTGTAACTGAACATGAAGATAGCAAATTCACCATATCCCACATCCGATTAATTGACAACAAAGATTGTTTTCCTTCTCCACTAATAAGTAATAACCAATAAAGGTATGACCAACTACAAAATTTGCGTTAGGCAGCTACAAATTGAAAAAGGAAACCATAAATTCTTAATAGATATATAAGAAAATTTTACTTAAATAAACCACTCTTACCATTTGCAAAGGCCGAATCCCTTTCCGCTTACTAAAAAATTTGGAGAGTTACTGCACATTTATCAGCTCTTAGAGCCCACTCTCTGACTTTCCGCCATTTGCGAGAGCACCTTTGTTGCAAACATATTATCATCAAAATACCTAACATAAGGGTGCTCCTTCGGGACGAGTCGCCGATACATCCGAAACTGTTTCTCTGACTCGTCTTTCTTTCTCAATAAAGTATAGATAATGCCCTGACAGAGATACGGCCGAAAATCCCTGGGTTCCTCCTTAACAAGCTCCTGATAAACCTTCAATGCATCCACATAATTCCCCTCAATAGCCCTAACCTGCGCGACCAACAACTTAAAATCCCTCAAACCCTCTTTCTTCTTCTCCTTCTTGCACCTCTCCATAGCGTTCTCAATCCTCTTCAATACAGCTCCCAATTCATCAGACTCTGACTGTGACGTTGCCATTACAAGACCATGGTAAGCTTCAACAAAAAGAGGGTCATTGGATAGAATCTCTTCGAAGCCTAATTTCGCCAATTCGACATCTCCACTGTAATTCTGAAGGTGGGCTTTCAGTAAAGGCCATTCTTTTTCGGAGGGTTCAATTTGGATAAGTCGATAGATGATGGCGATCGCTTCTTGAAGCTTGCGAGCTTTGATCTTGACATCCATAAGGGACCTGAGGGCTTTGACATCATCAGGATGGGAGTCCAGATACTCTTCGATGGTACGCTCTTTCTCTTCATCGGAGACGGCTTCGGTGGATACGTCGGTGGGTGAGGTGGTGGGAGCGGCGAATGAGGGTTTGCTGAAGCGGTTGAAGAAGAAAGCGGCAGCGGTGAGTGTGAGAACGAGACCGGTGGTTTTGAGGAGAGAAGAAAGCGGCTTTAGAAAATCGAATGATGGTTCCGGGTGGTGGTCTTGACGGGGAGTTAGAGGGAGAGGAGCAGAAGAGGCTCTGATACAAGTTTTAGGATTAAAAGGGTTGCTGATGGTGAAGGAAATAGAGTAGACGGATCTTGAGGATCTTGACAAGTGGCATTTGAAAAGATACAAATGACCTTCAAGTGTCATCTAATTTTCTTTATCAAACATCCAAACATTCGCAAAAAAGGAACAGTCCCAAATCTTTGCCTCTTTTATTCAAGAAAGTTGGGGTCACGTCTTAGTGGGCATTCTGATGACCCCAACATTCTTGAACAGAAGAGTCAAGAATTTTGAGAGTGTTCATTTTTTATCAATGTTTGGATGGTTGGTAAAGAAAATTAGATGACACTCGAAGGACATTTGTGTCTTTTCAAATGCCACTGAACGATTGATTAACAATAGATAATGAATTAGCACATTTTGATAGTTCGGATACTGAATTATTGCATTTTAAAATTCGTGGCATTAGCCCAAAGTACATAAATTTTCCCTTTCTTAAAATTTTGATGGATTTTCATTGGTTAGTGTGCTCCTTATGCATACAATGCGTTAAGGCAAAGTAGGCTCCGTCTGTGGTGGGTCAAGGTTCTTCCCGTATCATTAATAACTGGTGCCATATTTGAACTAAACACAAAATTACCTTAATCACTGGGTCATAAATTTAGTGGCTTGATTAATGAGTTGATTGACCCAATCTGGTGCCACACTCAAATAGGAGTAAACCCAGAACACACCAGAGACAAGCCATTTCACTAGGACCTTTCAAAATGGTTTTACTCGTTACCTGGCCATCTCTCCAAAATGAAGAAAATCTACACTCTCCAAATTCCAAGTGATACTATACAAGTTATCGGAAGCAAGGAACCAATGGATCTTTTAAAATAAAAAAAATTCACCCCATGAGAATCATTGAATCAACTTGCAACATCCTCAAAGAATATTCAAAAACAACAAAAGAATAGAATGAGCACCCCAACACAAGGTTGAATTCGGTCCCTCCCTCATTTACCTTGTACACAAGCGGCAATCTTAGTCATGCAAGAATTGGATATGTACTCAAGAGTTCAGAATCAAAAGCAATCATGGAAGCGCAAAGAATAGCATGCAAAGCAAATGGGAGCAATGATGCAGAAATTAGGGCTCTAATTCAAGGTTTGGAATCAACAATCCGTCATAATTACAATTATTTAATGGTCTGCTTAGACACTGAAGGACTAGTCAAGAAACTCAAGAACCATTCTCTTGATCACTCATGGGTGAATTAATTTCACTAAGGTACCATTCAAGCCAAGACACAACACTTTCAGTCAATAAAATTTGTATATATCCCTAGTACAAAAAACAAACTAGCTCACCTCTTACAAAGTTTGTTTTTATGGAGAAACAGAAAGATACCATGTTCTAGATTATTCTGATGTACAAGCTTTGAATTGATAATAGAGCAAGAAACAAATGATCCATATCATCATCATCTTAGGTTATGGGGTTAGCAAGAGGAATCCTGTTTGGCATGTCCGTTGTTAAATTAAGGAATGTTGATATCATGTTTTGTCACCTTTATCCAAATAATTTTCAATTAGCCTAATTCTTTTACCCTTTCAGCTTCTAATAAATCAATTTTCGTAAGAGGTGTTGTAAATGGATCCTAGATTTACCACTTGTTCTTTTGAGCATTCACATTTTTTTTTTGCCATGCAACACTTTGGTGTATACAACATATTTAGCCTGATAATTGTTTTACAGAAAATTCTTTTTAGCCGAAGTATTCGTCTATTATAAAAAGATTCATGATACATCTCTCCATTATGTCTATCCTATTATAATTCTTTAAGTAATATTCTCCTCAATCTCTCATTTGTTATGAATTATTGAACTAAGACAATGAAATTAGTCACATTGAATTATCTCTTGATTTTTTATCCCAAGTTTGCAAATTTGTACTCCTATTATCAAAGTTTGTAAATTATTATCAAATTTCTTAAACTACTCTTATAGTTTAGTTAATTGACTAATTCTATCCTTACTGTTTACATATTGTCTTATAGCATCCCTACTATTTTTAACAATTGACATTGTAGTGCTAACGGAAAGAAATGAAATATTGAATTTACCCTCCACTATTCCTCAAATTTTTAAAATAAAATCTAAGCGACTTTGTTAGCATTTTAACATGTAGTTATCTGAATGGTAGCATGATACTAAACTGCAACTCATAATGTATGGGAAAAGTTTTAGGAATTTACACCCAAAGTCTAATGCAAAAACTGATACTTGCGAAAATCCAGAAACCCCAAATTTATGAAGCATTTTGAGAGATGTGGTATGATTGTTCAGTCGGACAGAGTTGCAGACCACGAGAGATGTGGTATCTTATTGAAATTTTAGAAGGTGCGCTCCATATTCTGAAATGCATTCCTCAGTAGATACTATGCTTCTTTTCTCAAACAATCATTCATTAATTGCATCTTCCAACAGGTTCTATCATTTGCCATGGCTGTCTGGGCAACTTTTACCATATCCTTTCCCAATTGTCCATAAACCTAATTTTACAATTAATCTTTTGCTACTTACATCAATTAATTAGTACTATGTACCAAACCGTTTCATTATTCTGTTCCCAAACGGGATCGGTTCTATTTCATTTCAGAAGTCTAAAAGTTTGCACTTTAGAAGTATGTATAATGCAAATACTAGGTTTAAAAATATCATCTATACTGAAATATATTTTTATTTCTACTATTCCTAAATTTGACCTAAAAAATGGATTTAGTCAATTCTCTAAAACTTCACATCGGGTTCATAAATTTAAAATTGAGTGCCTAAATGATGGATTTATGTAAATCTCCAATAGTTCACTCTACAAATATGGCGAGGGAAATGGAGCGGTTTTGGTTTGGACCCAGTCCAAATCAGAATCAATTTGGATGGATTAACGAATCAATAAGACATAAGACATATTGAATTGGACCGCCAGTCCAGACTTAATGGTCCAAAGTATCTGTTGGACTGGATTGTATATGCTCCATCTGTAATGGATTTATATCTGATTGGGTCAAATTGAACAATTCTCTAGTCCATTGACAAAAGATAAACATACAGGTGTCAATAGACCAAATTTGGTTTAAAACCAATCTAAATTAAAACCGATTTGAACAGATTAGATGGTCCAAACATTAAATTGGATTGATCCAAGATGGTCCAGATCATTCATTAGATTGGATTGGATTGGACTGGACCTAACCCATCTGTAATGGACTCTTACTGGAGCGGATTGAATTGGACTCTTGTCAAATTGACACCCCTAGGTGGGGTACATAAAAGGAAAGCTAGTTGGGCATGTTTCATTCTATATAAGTTGAAAACAATAATGTTAAGCACAATATAACTCAAACTCTAGCTTGTTATGAGCCTTTAAAGTTTATGTAAATACTTTTCTTTGGCACAAGACAAGAATTTATGTAAGTATTAGGGGTGGCAATTTTTGACAACCACTTGGATTAATCTCTCTCTCTTTCTTCGGTTGAGTCAAATGGTACCTTCAAATCATATAAAGTTAACCTACCCAATTTATAATAAATTAATAAATGGGTAATGATCATGCGGAAATGTTCATCAGTTAAAACATGCAAACCCTGCGTATTCATCGTCGATTCCCCCCAAATTTCAGCCATTAAAAAAAGAGAACTTATTTGCTTTACAAACTTTTGAGACATGGGAACAGCGGGATTCATGGGACTTCGGGAATGTTGATGAAATGAATGGTTTTCAAAACAAAACCCCGTTAAAAGCAAAAGCATTCGTATTCAAAACAAAACCATCCATATAAGCAACCACCCCACATAAATTTATTCACCATGAACGTTCTTGCTTGCCGATCCATTTCAATTTATAATAACTGTCTGAAACCTAAAAGAAAATGTTGAAAGGCTCCTCCGCTCCTCTAAGGATTAAAAAAGTCACAATACTCATGATTCAGAGATTCTTAAACTTCATATGATAACATGGGTTAAGACGTTAATGCTATGTTTGATTTGAGGGAAAAAGGTAGGAAAAGGAAGAAAAAGATAAAAAAACTAATACAATATTTGTAAAGGTTTTCTTGTTTTATTCTTCCTTTTCCTACTTTATTCCTCAAACCAAACACAACCTAAGTGGCCTTAGTTTCCACCTACTGATGGTCCTTTGCTATATGGAACAAAACTGAATCTGTCATATCTATAGTTCTTTTTTTTTTTCCTACAAAAAACATTAAATCAAGAGGTCCAATTCATTATACCAAGGGTTCGATTATAATAGCAAACAGATATAATATCGGAAAAACTTATAAAACCAATCAACTAATATCATAAGTACGGTAAGTAATAACTATGTCTTTCCGACAGCATAGATGATTAGATTTTCCCTTATTTTGTTATCATGTTTTCACTTTTAAACCTAAGAATCTTGTCAAACCTAATGAATCCCATGGGCCTCATAGGCCAGGCCTATGTTTTCACTTTTAAACCTTTACCTCATATTGCTCTAGGGCTTGGGGTGTGGCCCAAAACCATGCTCCACCTACCCGAACCAGACATTAAGGGCATCCTTGTATTTATATTTTTTCACTTGATTTTCCACTCAAAATGCTGAATTATCATGCTGGGAAGTGAGTTTGAGACACAGACTGCATTTCCTCCCATGTAAACCCTTTTCTATAAAATTTCAGCACTAGTGCAAATAACATCACTCTGGGTTTCCTACACTTTTTATTTTTTTTTCTACAGTTGTTTCTTGCACCTTCATTCAGTGTGTCCTTTTACTTTAGACCACTGTTTTCAAAATCGGACCGGAAAAATCGGGAATTGGTCATTTGATCGATTTCGTTTTTCTTCAAAACTGCATTTTTTTTTCAAAATCGTTGATTTTTATCAATAAACCGCGGAACCGGCTAGTTAATTGTTCGAACGGTTATAATCGTTTTCCAAATTTTTAAGTTTTTTTAAATTTTTTAAATTTTTGCCAAAACAGGCCTGAATGGTCAGACCGTTCAAACCGATAACTGGACCCCTGACAGGTTCGTTTTTTAAAATCATGGTTTAGACGTATAAATACGTATAACAAGCATACTTGTTAGTTCCTAAAGTGGGTAGGAAAAGTGATTAAGAAATCTGGGCTCGTAATTGTGATAGATTGAATGAAAGT